ATGTAGGTATATGATGAAAAAAAAAATATATATATATATATAAATTCATATACATACATAGATACACACACACACACACACTTATATAAAGATATATATACATAGCTACATACATACATATATATATATATATATATATATATATATATACATACATATATATATATATATATATATATATATATATATATATATATATATTTATGCATGTATGTATGTGTGTATGTTTATATACGTGTACATATATATATATATATATATATATATATATATATATATATATATATATATATATATATATATATAAATATATATATATATATATATATATATATATATATATATATATATATAATGGAATGTTTATATATATGTGTGTGTGTTTGTATGTGTGTACATAGGCACTCATTTTCAAGTAATCCAAGGCACATTCAATGAGTGTGTTCAGGAAAACTTGCAGAATACTTATATATTTGCAATGACTGGTAAGCGAAACATAAACCTGTGAGCTACTTTTCCCCACGCCTCTAGTTCCGGTAAGTTCTCTGTAATCCCATCACATACTTTATCATGGTATATTGTAAAGTTACTTCCATTACAATCCACATTACATTCCACATATACCGACTTGCGACTATTTACCAGATGTAAACAGCGTCGTGTGTTGTGGTCATTTGCAGCTTCCGTGATGGGGCCAAGTTACGTGTAATGGCACTGCCCTCGGCTACCTATTTAGACGTCGTCATCCGAGAGGGACGGGATTCCTTTGAGGGGCCTTTGAAGAAACTCCTCGACCTGCTCTCCCATTCTCTTAACTTCACGTAAGTCCTAATCATCTGTGTTATAAAGGTACTCTATGCCAACTAGTGATTTGCCTAAGGTATCATCGCCCTGAGATTCAACAGCTGTGGTTCATTCTTGTTTGTTTGCTTGTTTCTTCTACCTTCACTTCACGATAGATATACGATAACGAAGCCCCCCGATGGTCGCTGGGGTGGGAAGTTCCCAAACGGAACCTGGAACGGTTTAATAGGAGCCACCATTAGAAATGTGAGTGTTGCATTAATCGATCAATGAAGACAAAACATGTTTAAGTATGTATAGAACTCAAACATGGAGACATGCCATTTTTTTTATCAAAATACTGTCGGAAAAGAAAATTAAGTGAAAGAAATTAATATATCTTTTTCCTTTCCAACTCTCGACAGGAGACAGACCTCGTCCTTGGTCCCATGTCGATGTCGAAAGAGCGAAAAAATGTCGTCGACTTCTGTTACCAGTTAGATATAAGCGGCTTGTCCCTGATAGCAAGGAAGGGTAGTCTCGAGGTGGATCCCTGGGCCTTTCTGTCGGCGCTGTCCCTGTCGACGTGGCTTCTCCTGTTGCTGGCCCTGCTGGCGTCAGGTACCGCCCTGGTAGTGCTGGGTCTCTCGCGGTGGGCCAGAGGGCGTTACCCATTCTCGCAGGCGGTTTTGACTGATCTCCTGAGAATTCTTGTGCAACAAGGTACGGCTAGCGTTGTGTGTATGTACGCGCCCGTATGCGGAGCAATGAAATAATCTTCTTCAATTAGTTACTGATGTTCTCAAATGCAGATCAATTTGCCTAATCAGTAAACTGTGTAAGACGATTAGAATGTTTCAGATACTTGTGGTGTTTGGTTTTAGCCACAGCTGAACAAGATATACGTTTTTTGTAATTACCAGTTAACTATCGTCCGCCTTATTACCTCCTCAGGTTTTCCTCCATCTATTTATGAAGGAGAATCGCGTTAGTCATTTTACGCAGAATATAGAAGAAGTTTTCAGTCTTATATAGCAAACTATTCTTGATGCTTTCCTGGAAAAAATATCACTAGAAATGATCTAGTAAAACAAGATCTCGCTTATTTAGTGTATTAACACTATACTAACTTTCTCAAATTCCAAATTCTTTCCTTGGCGGGCTTCAGCTTTGGATCAGATTTTTTTCTAAAATCTATACACGATTTATTATTATTATTATTATTATTATTCTCATTTATTATCAGCGACTAGCCATGCCTTTCAAACAGCAGTAGGTGGCACTGATATTTAGTTAACAAAATGTGACTCAAGTTATTCAAGCCAGTTTTGTGTTTTGGTTACTCCTTCCTCTTTCTTCCACACGAAGAGAGGAACTGAAGTGGCTGGACAAGCTGAAGGGATTATATAGGGCGAGTGACATGGCTGGAGGGATGAATCGCACAAGGATGCCTGAAAATCCCGAGATTCAAAAATATACCCATGGTTCTCAATTTTTTATAATTTGTTTATTTATTTATTATTGTTATTATTATTTATTTATTTATTTTATCTCCGTGGACCTGTCTGTCAACAACAACAAAACAAAATATCTCATACGTTTTATATACAAGACATGCTGTACATTAGAATCTTCATATATGCTTATCTACCTTTTACGCATATGGCCCGCTATGGTATGTTGTACAATAGAACCTTATTATAAAATTGTTCAAACTGACGTCAACACTGTATATATTCTTCATATTTATACTTTAGCCAGGTAGATAGTCATGTAATCGGTTCTCCTAAAGTGTACAGGTGTACATGAGGATAGATAACACACGAAATAGTAAGGGAAATAGTAAAAGATTATACAAAACGTCCTCCATTCGTGCATATCAGTAGGGTGATGAAAATGTGATCTATTTGTAAATTACGTGAAAAAATATTAATAAAATAAAATGAATAAGTAAAATAGATGAGTGAACAAGTGAAAAAAAAAATTATCATTCTTTATTTTTCTAATCTGATGATGAAAATGCGATTTATTTGTAATGCACGACAAAATGCCACATTTCTCTCTTTTCCTCTCTCTCTCTCTCTTGTAAAGATATTGAAAATGCAATCCATTTGTAGTTAACGACGAAACATATTCCAAAACATCCACCTTCTCTTTTTTTCATTTCTAATCATTATTATTATTATTATTATTATTTAAAGAAATGCGCTCGTCACCCTATGGCTGGCAACGGTGCATTTTAGGTTCGTGGCTCTTGCTGTCAACATTGCTGGTCTGGGCGTACAGTTCCACCGTGACCTCCGCCTTCGCTGTGCGCTTCGCTTCCCGTCCGATCCAGAGCGTCAGGAACATTTTGGATGACGGTCGTCTTGTCGCTGCCGTGGGAGAAGCGACCATCTATGCCGACCTCATAGAGGTGAAAACGATCTTGCTTTTAGTATTGATATTATTATTATTATTATTATTATTATTATTATTATTATTATTATTATATATATATATATATATATATATATATATATATATATATATATACAATATACACACACATATACATATATATATAATTGTCTGTGTGTGTGCTTTACGTTGAGTTTGAATCTCACCGGTCAAATAAAGATCAATTTTCTCTCTTTTTATAGATTAGTTACAGTGAAAGGCACGCGCGCACAAATACAGACAAGTGTATATATTGAGTGGAGGGGGAATCCTCCCCTCCCCCTCCCCAAGACTACTGATTCCCCCCTCAACGTCTGGCTTTGCCCCCCAAGGGCCACACTTCCACGATCGATTTATTGCTTAAATTACACCTTTATAGTTCTGACCGTAGCTTAATATAGAATAGCTAATTTCTCAAGTTTTCTTGAGAGAGGGGGGGGGGGTTGTTCTCCTAAAAGAAAAAAGAAAAAAAGAAAAAAAATATCTTTCCCTATCTTCCCACTCATCTCTCCAAACTTTATCCTTATCCTTATCCCAGCGCCCCTGGAAAAAGATGTTACCCACTTCGCTCGCCAACCTCCCCCCCCCCCCAAAAAAAAAAAAAAAAAAACTGAAATAACGCTTTTGCTTACAAACATTACCCCATTCTCCACATCCCTAAACGGTGAATACACATACTCACTTAACCCACTGCCGCCGGGGATGGCATGTACGTACATGCCATGCCCACTGTGAGTCGACTTGTTCGATTGTTTTTACACATAGATGGCTACACTTGTACTAAGTATCCAATGAGCCAATTACGAGTACTACCTGTCTCGCCCGTTCACCCTTTTCATCGGTATACGAAAATAGTTAACGTTATCCTAATTTGCTGTTAAAAATAACACCATCTATATTTACAGCACTAGTAAAAATACGTTTTTTTCCCGCCAATTCAAGGAAAGGTGAAATCAGGACTAGGAGAGCCATCTATGGACAGAGATATTTCACAAAAATATAAAAAATGAGTACTGCATTTCCCCCATTTTTTGTTGATTTTCCCCGGCGGCAATGGGTTAATACCAAAGCGAGAGCAACGCCACGCCACCATATAACCTCACACAGGAAGAAGAAACGGAAGTATTTAAGATGTTGGCTGATTTAAGGAGGCAAGGGCGGTTGATCTACAAGCCAGCGCCGTTTAAAATAGGGATGGGCGATTACGTGTTCCTCCAGCATGAGACATCGGCTGATTTCGAAATGGCCGTGGAGTACTTGAAATCAGGTAAACGTTTTCAAAATTGGCTTTCACCTGTAAGGTAACTGGTAGATGTAGAGAGTGCAGGGATGGTTGAGTGTGTGTGTGTGTGTGGGGGGGGTAGTAGTAACAGGTGTTAATGTTATTATATTGTTATTATTATTGTTACTTTTTTTTTTTTACTGACGCTGTTGTGTTTACAGTAGTACTATCATGTTAAAAGTAGTATATTTTATATTGTTATTTTTACTATTATAATAACAATCATTATAGCCATCTTTAATATTATTGTTATTCTTATTGATACCGTTGTGCCTCTATCGCTAAAATTTTGAATATCTTTATTAAGATATAAGCACTACTAGTTGTATCATCATGACCGTCATTATTATTATCATTATATAGAGCATAATATGCAAACAAACCGACATATCTTTTAAAAATCTAAACGCAAGATATCTCATCGACTCAACATCTCACCGAATTGACATATGTCATAAGCAACACTATTACTTACAGGAAAGTGTGAATTCTACAAAGCGAAAAAACGTCTTATGTATTTACCAGAAGCTATGGTCGTTCCAAAGGGCAGTCCTCTCCTACAGGCTATTAATCACAGGTAATAATAATGAAAATAATAATGTTGATTAATATCGTTATTAGTATTAGTATTATTTTTAGTATTGTTGTTCCGGATATCATTATTGTTATTATTATTATTATTATTATTATTATTATTATCATCTACTATCACTACTACTATTACTATTACTACTATTACTACTACTATTAGTATCATTATAAAGAGATAATTTCATATGGTTATTGTTACTCAAGTAAAACTGTCCCTTTAACATGTTACCAGGTCAGTCTAGGACCTGATTCCCAATCTTTGGACAGTCAATACCCCAGAAACTCTTTAGTACCAGCCACGTGCGTTTTCTAAATCTTATTAACTTTTCTGTCTAGACTATTGAATACATTTACTTTAAGTAGTTAATATTAAGCCGTGATATGAATACTTTCATTGAATCTAGCAAAACTTACAGGATCGTGTTCCAAGTTAGAAACATCTTATCGGGGTTATTCTTATTAAGTTATTCATGTGGAAAATATCTTCTCTTTGTAGTGTGTGTGTGTGTATGTGTGTGTGTGTGTGTGTGTGTGTGTGTGTGTGTGTGTGTGTGTGTGTGTGTGTGTGTGTGTGTGCGTGCGTGCGTGCGCACGTTTGTGGGCACCTCACAATGAATCTTGAATGGAGGAGTAGTTGCCACGCAATATCACTGAATATAAAGTCAAAGTAGCCAAGATGTTTTTAAATAGGTAGACCGACTCAATCTTCATCAAAAATCCTAGTTGGCAACTTCAGAGCTAAGTCCCGCCTCATCGCCTTCATTCATTGCAAATATTAAATATATATATATATATTTTTTTTCGTTTTTTTGTACTGTAATTATTACCGAATTGCACTGAAATAACTCAAAAAGGGGGCGAGATAATGACGTCACCACGTTGCGATGAGATATCAGATACAGCTAGATAAATAATTATGTGTATAATTCACTCGATATTGTTATACTTACCAGAAGTAAAACCAGAATTTTCCCTCTTTTATTTATGATGAATTCCTTACCATTAACTGCCGTTAGAATACTCTTGGGGTAAAAAGTAATTTTAATTTTCGAGATCAATAGGCTAAATGGAAGTGGAGCTACCTGGTTATATATACTCTTATTATATGTACTTTATTACTCCCACATTAGGCTGTGGAGGCTAGAGATGTCTGGAATCTTCAGGAAATGGAGAAAGGATGCTTTTCTCTTGCCAAACGTGTGCTCTCGTTCCCCAGAGAAGATACTTGTCAAGGAAAAACTCAAGTACAATAGCATACGGGTAAGCTTTTTATTATTATTTGTTTTATTTTCCATCTTAACCTGATTACGGATTAAAACACCTACGATAATGATGACAGCATTAATATGTGAGATGAGCTGTACTCATATTCAGATATTATAATCCAGTACGGAGGTTGGGAGGAGTCTGTCACGATTTATTTAGTGCATTAAGATGAGATGCACACTGAATGTAAAGACACGATCGGTATATTTTAATACAAAATATAGTATATACGAGGTCAGAGTCAGCTTACAGAGCACAAAGTTGGTCTTCCAGGATAGGGAATGATTAGTTAATGACTTAAACAAATGAATGTGATAAACAATGAAGATCATATAGTGCTTACAAGGTGAGAAGAAACTTTCTGTGACCCACGGGTGGTTTTCAGGGGTCCTATGTTGAGGTACATACCCTGTAGATTTGACTGGCTAACAATTGTTTCTGCGGAGAGGTCGTCCTGCACGAGACAGGGCGACAGGACGATCGCTTTGAAGGTTGTCAGTGGTTGGTCAAAAAAAATCCTGTATATGTTTATTTGTATACTTTGATTTATTTTTTGTGGTCTTAATCAACGTTAAGATTGTCTTCTCTGTTTCTAGATATTGGAAAAGAAAGCTTTTTACTAACCTAATCAAGACCTGAATGACGTATTGAAACTAATCTACGTTCAGGTGATTGTGCCGACCAAAAATCGAGGTTGACCTGAGAGCTACCTGTTTACCATGCTGATCAAGAAAGTTTGAAGAAAAAATAACATTTTATATGGCCTGCTCCCTGTTAGCGTGCAACATCTTGCCATACTTTCATAATCACGTGAATGGCCTTAAGGGATAATTTCAAACACGTTAGAAGTAAATTTCTTGTTTGATTTGGAGGAACTCAAATATGCATGATTAATTTTTGGGCTTAACGATACATGTAGTGACAGAGAAACCTATTATGTGCACAAAAGTTTGTCTTCCTGGAATCTGTGAGGATTTGGGAAACTGCCTTATCTTTTCCCCTTGTTTTTATTGATCTATTTTTTATAGTGTATGCTAGGAATATCTGTTTCTCTATGGACATGTTCATGTTTTACTTTTATGCAAATCACATAATATAATATACATACACATGGGTCACATTTGTCATAAAAAAATCGAAATAAGCTTTGCATTTTCAGATAGAGTCAATTCTGAAAAGATTACACTGACCTTGATCCAAAAAATAAATAAATCATAAGTCCAGCTAGTGTGATCTGAATATATAACTCTGATTATCATATTAACCATATTTTTTTCATAAATTATATATTACTTCAATGATTCTGGCAACGTTCTACATCCACATCTGTTACAATTGTCAAGAAACAAACGTCGCAGTTCCTTTAGTGAATTTCTTGAAATTGATCACAAATGTGAAGGATACGTATTTCTTAAAGGCACTAAGTTTAGAACATGTAAACTGTGTTCTTTTAAATTACGATATTCCCCTTGCTCTTCAACCCAACCTATTCCTATTTACCTTACAAATAATCTTTAGAGTCATAGATTCAACAGATGTATTCGCATGACTATATGGATAAGATTGTACAACAGTATTCTCATCAGTGACAACCAAGTTAATGTTTATCTCACATTTAACTAAGTGCTTTGTCTTTTTCTCTTCAAGGGTATGTTGATGGTACTAGCAAGTGGTCTCATGGCTGGTCTGATCGTTTTCCTCCTTGAGATAAAAGTAGCAGGTATCATCATTCACCAGTCATTCACAAACAGCATGTGAATACAATGTCTATATGAGTACTTATATATGTACATATATATTTACTTACTTAGACTTTGCTTGAATATGCTTAATAGTGATATAGTGATTATAAACAATTTTCTTTCTAAACCTGAATAATGCCCTAAAAAAGGGTATTAATAGTGTAACTTGATTTTCTTTCTATCATATTCAATTTGATAGAATAAGAATGATTAAGACACTGACTTGTAATTTACTAGAATATTTTCTCTTTAATTCTGATTATCCTATACATCTTTATTGAAAATGAGTAATTATTTTTTTCATAATTTCCATTCTGTTGAGAAGAAAGAATGACTTAGATTCACCAGACATTTTCTATATAATATTTCATGAATTCCAGTTAGCTTAGTTATCTTCATAAAAGTCACATAATTCAAATGAAAATTACTCACCCAGCTCAACTACGTATTTCATTATTTTAAAAACACTAGAATGTGAATTGTTACATCATCCATACAACAGAATATAAGAATCTATGAAATAAGTAAATACTGTACTCTTCAGTCCTTTCACCATTAGCCTTTCAGATGGTCTTTTTACGATGCACTTTCATAATGAACTGGCAAAAAGTTGACAAAAATCTATAAGGCACATGTAACATTTAATAAATTGGTAAAATTCTATGTTCTACCAAAATTCCCCTTCAGGATAGAGAACATGCGTTATTTTCACGTGCTGTAGTGGATCCCTCCCTCCAGTCAATCTAAATGATGGGAAAGAGAACGGTAGAGGGGTTGAGATTGTGTAATGTTGATACCGTTTTGTCATTATTACTGCTTCTGCCCCTAACCCATTTGGAACAGAAAATGACCACATCTGTTCTTGAAGTTTTCAGCTGTTCATAATGTGCTTATTTCTTACTCTAATTCCTATATCTATTTGGTAGACATCAATTAAGAGTACACTGGTACCAAATTCAGTTAAGATTCTGACATGAGAAATTGTAGTGATGGTTGGTATCTCATGTGGAAAATGCTGCAATTTTAATAATATTTGTAATTTTGTTTTTTGTTAGTTAGCAAGTATTACGGTTATTAATAATGATCTCAGGGAGACCTCTCAATTAATGGGATCAAATTTTTTTATCATATATTGGTTGAAAATCCAACAAAGCCTGTAATTTTTAGATTTCAATTTACTGAACTATTTATTACACATATCTGAAATTGCTTGATTATATAAGGTTATTGTTAAGATGTCACAATGATACTATGTTACTAATACTTTCATGTTGGAATGCTATATATGACTGTTTCTGTTATCATATGTGTTTCAGTACAAAACTTGCCTTGTGCATCACTATATTATTTCTAACAAACCATTTTAATACCTAGAGTATATTTGCAGGACATTTTTTTGCATATGTTTCATATGGTTAGGTGCATTCATTACTAACTGCATGATAAATTGAAATTATATATGTATATATATTTTCTTCTTTTCTGAATCACTGTCAACTCTTAATATCAGTAACTAGGCAAAATATTCTATATATATAATCTTTTCAACAATTTTTATAAGTTATGTATAGTGTAAGAGAACAAAAATGCATATAAGTCCTCTTCATCATTAATATCCTATAACCATTGATGCACATGAGGAATAGAAATGCCCCAAGTTCTAAAAAAGATATATATATATAAATGAAACAAGTAGATATAAACTTAACTGTCTTTATTTCACATATTCATCCATACTTCATGAAAATTACCCAACCAGTCACAATCAGTTGCCATTTCTAACACAATTTCCCGTTTGTGTAATAAGAAAGAAGCGTTATCGATGTCACAAATAATAAACAAAATAAAATGTTCCCTCTCTCTTTCCTGTATCACTTTTTACTGTCACTTTAAAAAAGAGAAGTTGATCTGGAGAAAAATTGACTTTAGAATATGATAAAACATGAAAACATTTAGTTTCTCTGAGTAAAAAGAAAAAGAAATATGCTCTTCGTCTGAATGGCAGAAAAATACGTATACACACCAGTATATGAATAAAAAATATTTATATATATTTAAAAAAATTTCAGAATGTATATTTTCCTAAAGACTGCATTAGTAAAGAATTTTCAAAATTAACAAGCCTGTAAAAAGACAATAAAAAGCACATTCTACCAAATAATAATGTATATTCCAAATAAAAAAAAATCTTCTTTCATATTCTAGTTTTCTTAACACAGTATTCAAACACTTTATATATATATATATATAAAAATATGCAAACATTTGATTAAAATACAAAAATATCTTAAATTCCGACTGAAAGAAAAATGCACATATAAAAAATTAAAGGCCAGAGGGGATTACTAACAATCCTTAAACACTCTTAAAGATAATGAAGGTATAAAAAAAAAAAAAAATCAAGAAAACAATAACAAAACATAAAACACATGGCACTGGAAGACAAAGTTGAACCTAATCTGCATTTTGTGCCTCTTGTGAAACAATTGTCTGCTGAGTTTAAGACCAAGCAAGTCCACATGCCATGAATAAACAATAAGACAGACAATTATTATCTGCTCTCTTATCTCTCACCTTTATCATTCTCTTCATTATTCCCTGATTTTCTTTACCTCACCTTACCTTACACTGCCTAAGATTACCCTACAATGATACACTACTGTCATTATCTTTTTTTTTCACATATAACCACATCTATGTACATGTTTACTTACACTATTAGGTCTTTGACAGTCCGTATATTCCTGAGCATTAATATATAATTTTTTTTTAACTATGCACAGAACTAGTTGATATATACTGATCTGTGACATCTACTGCCCTATATTATAAGCTTTTTTCATGTCTTTTCTTTGGAGTGGACCATTTCAACACAATAATCTTTGTTTCACATGAAATGGTTCAATCATACAAATTAATGAAAACCCTTCACTGACTAGTCATTTAGCTATGGATAGCTTTGGATATCCTGACCTTTCAAATATATTATTTTTTGCCTTTCTCTTAGTCTTTTTTCTTTTTTTTTTTCAATGGACTGCATTCCCTGTATATCATAAATGCAGCCAGTAGGTGAGCAGCATATCCATAAACCCCTCTGGCTCAACAACATAAGAACTAAACTGTGGCAACTTAACAGAACATTCTTAATTAAATAAATAATAAAAGATTAAACAATTAGATCAGATTAAAAAAAAGCCCTTTAAACAATGTTAACAAAGATAAGAAAAAAAGAAAAAAATCCCTGTCATGGCTGCAACTTGGTTTCGAGATAATCTCATATCTTATATCCCTGATAGACTTATTCTTACATAAAAAAAGACGAACAGCATGCAATGATCCGGCTCCTAAAAACAAAGTAGCTTGATCAACAACACAAAATACTTGCAACTTAATCAATTAATCCTTAAATTATAGATCTAAGGCAGAAGAAAGAGACCGTCATTTTTTTCTCATCTTTCCTAAATGACAACAATCCTGACAAAGAATCTGTATCAAGTTTCATTTGTTATCTTTAGGTCTATAGAAAAAAGTAATAACTAGAGACACTGTACAACAGTGTAAATTCCATTAAAAAGCAATTACAGTATTATAAAAGAATAATGATGATAAGAATAAGAACAGTATGGCATACTTTATGACATGTGTTAGATGTTTTATAATCTTACAAACGTATCCTAAACTGATCAAAGATGCTCACATCACAAACACTTTCTCAGCATCTCGAATATTGTAAGTTTGTCGTGTTCGTGGACAGACAATCGTTCCGTTGTTCTCGTTTGCCATTTGTTGAAGTGCCTGGAAAAAAACATAATGCTTTTAGTTGCTGTTTGTCTAACTAGGTTTTTGATACTTACATATTCTGGATACTGGCAGTCCTTATTTACATTTTCTAAATAAAGTCACCTTCAACTAACAGAAGCTCATGAATCTCTATATCCGATGGCACTAGCCTAAGACAAGACTATAACTTTAAGCTATCCTATGTGAATAATACCTGACTGTGAGAAAAAATAGAAAGGGCAGTCAAGTGCATGAGATGTTGTTCTATCAGCCTTTGAAAACAACTGGCAAGCTTAAACCAATGACCATTAGTGTATATTCTAATATTATTCTTTCTTTGGATAATTTGCTATTTAACCTGTTGGATCTGAGTGACATGGACTTGTAGTCATAATAATAATAAATAATAAAAAAAAGGCTGTAAGGCAGGTGATTGAAATAATATGAAATAAAAAATAGCCATGGAGCAGGTGATGGGAATGTCTCGTCATGGGTAAATTTTGCTAAGTGTTACATGAGTGCACAAAGTACTAGGAGCAAGATTAACTTAGTGGATTTTAAGGAAGAGGCTTGTTTGCAGGCTCCTGCAGTATTTCCACCAGTGCATAAAGGGGAATTTTACCAGACCTCAATCAGGGCTATCTCAAGGGAGAACACTGTGTCCATTTGCAGTGACCTACTCCTGCCTGCCAATATCAGCTGGTTATAGGTTACAGCATATGGAATAGTACAAAAATATAAAAAGCACAATACTAGTTGTTTTTACTGTTACTGCAGAGAGTATAAGCTACCTGAAGAGATAATATGGAGTCAGCCCAACAAAAACTGTTTATTATCATCTTAACCCACTGCCCATGCCCACTGTGAGTCGACTTGTTTGATTGTTTTTACAAACAGATGGCTATACTTGTACTAAGTCACCAATGAGCCAATTACGAGTAGTGCCTGTCTCACCTGTTCACCCTTTTCATCGATTTATGAAAATATTTAACGTTATCCTACTCTGCTGTTAAAAATAACACCATCTATATTTATAGCACTAATAAGAATACATTTTTTCCTGCCAATTCAAGGAAATGTGAAATCAGAGATATTTCACAAAAATATAAAAAATGAGTACAGCATTTTCCCCATTTTTTATTCATTTTCCCCAGCAGCAATGGGTTAACACAACATGGCAAAGGAAAATGCCCAAATAGCAAAAACATATCTGCAGAAAAAGGGCTAATAGCACAGCAAGTTGGAGGCAAGGAGTCTTGATGCCACTCATGAATATTCACATGGCTTGGACCTACAAGCCACACATCCCGGAGAGTTGCCACACAAGTATGTCTAGTGCCTGGATTTTGGACCAGATCCAACGGGTTAATTACAGATCATAAATAAATAAAGATAAAAACAGATCATATCAAATCTTTCACTCTTGTTCTCTAGATGACCAGTTCTTTAGATATTCTCAGGATGACATCCGTAAGTATGAAAAGAATTTTAAAATATTATCTTTATACTCAAAATAACATCTGACAAAATACAAAACCTGTTGAGCCTGAAAAGCAATGCCAGTAAACATCCCCATTAAAATATCTAAATATCTAAAAAGACCTGGCTAAAAACTCAAGACGTCTCCCTCGTGTCTCACCTTCTGGCCATAAACATATCCATTTGGCAACATAAGTGGCAGGTTGTTTTCATTGAGCTGGTCCCCGCTTATGTGGCACACAAGTCGAGACTGTGAGCAGTGGGCGTAAGGAAGAGGAGCTGCCAGTGCATTCAGAGAACGCTGGCACACGGGACAGTCGGGGTTGTGACCGGTTGCGCCCTGGAAAAGACATTATTATTACCCATCTTTCTTTCTTTTCTTTTCTTTTCTTTCTTTTTTTTTTAATGATGATGATGATGATGATGATGATGATGATGATGATGATGATGATGATGATGATGTGGTGGTGATGGTGGTGGTGATGGTGATGATGATGGTGATGATGATGGCATCTATTTCAACATTTTGAACTTGAATCTTTGTTGTAACAGTATCTACAAATAAAAAATCTTCATAAAAGAAGAAACCAAGCATGTTTAAACTTGATCAACTAGAGAGAGAGAGAGAGAGAGAGAGAGAGAGAAATTGTTGTCACATATGAGTAATAAGAGAGTTAC